AAAAAAACACACGGGAGTTAAGTAACATACCCAAGGCCATAGAGCTGAGGACTGAACCGAGCCCCCCTGGCTCCCAAGTCCATGCTCCCAAACACCACGCTGGTCTGCTTCTTGCTCTGGTGGGTTCAAGGCCATCAGACTGGAGATCGAGTTTGGAGATAGAGCCATCAGGACTTGCTGACCCAAGTCCTGCTGTGGCAGGGAAGTAGAATGCTCTGAGTTTTGGTCTGGGCACCCACTTCTTTCTTGGGAGCTTTGGGAACTGGTCCATGTCATGTGGGTGGTAAAAGGCAGGGCTAAGAACAGAGAACCCAGGATCTTGAGTCAGGGCTCTTTCCTCAACAACATTCTGCCTTTACATACATGCTTTATAAACCCTACAAAACGTAGAGGTTAAGTATGTTGAGAATAAAATTCCTAAACCTGAGAGAAATACTTATTTAAAGAATCCCAGCCCCTTGGCTGTTTCAACAAGGCCCTCTCGTGACTCCTCTCCCCCCTTTGTTCCCGGTAGCCAAACAAGGAGGTCCAGAAGAAGCTGTTTGACCGGATATCCAGAAACTACGCCAACGTTTTATTTAAGGAATCCAGGTCCCACTATGAAGAGGCTATCTTAAAAGTGAGCATCAACCAATGTTTAGAAAAAGAATTACGGTAGATGTCTACCTCACTCTGGCATCAACAGATGTCTTTTCCAAAGAATGACACCAGTAGAAACTCCAAAAAGGAGTAGTTAGTTAGTTGTGAGTCTTCCTCCAATCCTGATGCCACATTCTTCTTCCTGTAGTCCAGCTTCTTGGGTTATTTGCTCAACATACAGATTGAATGAGTATGGTGACAGGATGCAACCCTGACGCACTCCCTTCCTGACTTCAAACCCTGCAGTATCCCCTGGTTCTATTTGAACCACTGCCTCTTGGTCTACATCCAGATTCCTCATCAGCACAATGAAGTGTTCTGGAATCCCTGTTCTTGGCAGCGGGCACAAAGTAGACTTCTATTAATTGTTGGAATTGTCCCCTTGATTGATGCTTTTAAGAAAGAGGACTCTTACCACGATCGTTTTCTGGGGTCAAGGGCTCTTTTCCTGGGTACAGAAATACCCGGAGCTCTGACCGCGCTCTGCCTGCCCCCAGAGGTTGCCGAGCCTCCTGAGTCAAGGCCTGTACACCAGCTTCTGCTGCTGCTTCCCACAGTCCTGGTTCAACACGCACGAGTTCAAGACTGAAATCTGCAACACAATGAGCCTGTGGATTGCAGGTGAGAGCCACTTCTTTCTACGGGAAAGCAACTCCGGGAAAACGGTTTCTCTCGGAGCCCGGGTGTGTGATTGCCTTTGTCAAGGCAGTCTTCCTTTTTTCTCCTTGACATTAAAGAACGTGTAGTGTGAGCCCCAAAGGAGTACGAATTTTCCTACTTCCTCAAAACAGTCCTGAGCGATTCCGTCCTAGTCCCCCTTTCATGCCAGGAAACAACTTCAGGGAGCCTGGGATCTTCTAAGAAGATCCTGGCTTTTGAGCTCCTTAGTCAACCATCTGTGGGGGCTGATGGAACCAGAATTCAGGACCAGAAACAGGATGCTGGTTAGATCATCCCATCCTCCCACCCCCGTGTGACCCCAGGTGGCCCAGCTGTAGTCACTCCCCACTCCCTACATGAGGCCAGCTTGACATTTCCTTTCTTTTTTTTTCTTTTTGTCATTGCTTTTACTACTACTTTCTAGTCCCTTTCCCTACTTCCCCTTTCTCACGTTATTAAAATCTGTTACCAAAAAAACAGCGAAACTCGCTGCCGTCGAGTCAGATCCGACTCATAGTGACTCCTCCTTGGGTTTCCGAGGCGGTATCACTATGGAAGTGGATTGCCCAATCTTCCTTCAGAGGAGAGGCTATTATTAAACAAAAAACCCAGTTAAAAAGTGTGCAAAAGATCTAAACAGACATCTCATCAAAGATACACAAATGGGAAATAAGTAAATGAGAAGATGCTTTAACAGCATATGTCATGAGGATATTACAGATTAAAACAGCAATGAGATATCACTACACACCCATTAGAATAGCTAAAATCTGAGACATTGACAACCCCAATGCTGGCAGGGATGTGGGGCACCAGGAACTCTCATTCATTGCTAGTGGGAAGGCAAAAATGGTACAGCCACTTTGGAAGACAGTCTGGCAATTTCTTAAAAAGCTAAACATAGGCTGACCCTATAATCCAGCGATCACACTCCTAGGTATTTACTCAAATGAGCTGAAAACTTATGTCCACACAAACACCTGCACACAAATGTTTACTGCAATGCTGTTCGTAATGGCAAAAGTTGGAAATAACCAAGATGCCCTTCATTAGGTGAGTGGCTTAGCAACTAATGGCACATGGAGTATTATTCAGTGATAAACACGGTGAGTGCTCAAGCCATGAAATGACACAGAGGAACCTTAAACACATACTGCTAAGTGATAAGAAGCGAGTCTGAAAAGGTGACATGTTGTATGATTCCAACTCTTATGACGTGGGGTGGGGGGTGGGGAAGGGAGAGGGATGAATGGGTGGAGCACAGGGAATTACTCTTTTTCACATTGTGATGTTGAAAGTTTGCAGAGCAAATTCATTTTCCACACAGCAGTTCATACACATTTTGTTTCACAATATTGATTGCAGTCCCCACAACATAACAGCTCTCTTCCCACTTCCTCCTTGTAGTTACCTCTTCCCTGTGTCCTATTCTCCTATGCATTCCTGCTTCCTGAGCTATCTCCCTGTGCAAATGCTGCTCTTATGGTCTACATTGGTTGATTGTTCTAAGGAGTGTATCCACCTGGTGTACAAGTTCACCTTATACACCTGTCTAGGAGCAAAGGGAATTTTTAGGGCAGTGAAACGATCCTGTATGATACTGTAATGTGGTCATGTGACATTAAGCATGTGTGAAAACCCATAGGACTGTACAACACAAAGAGTGAACCCTAGTGTAAGCTATAGATTTTAATTAATAATAGTGTATTGTTAGCTTATCAGTTGTACAAAATGCACCACCCAATGCAGGGTGTTAATAATAGAGGAAACTTTGGGCATGGGGAGAGGGAGTATTTGGGAACTCTCTGTACTTTCTGCTCATTTTTTTCTGTAAACCTAAAACTGCTATAAAAAGTAACCCCATTGCTGTCTAGTCAATTCCGACTCATAATGACCCTGTAGGGCAGAGGAGAACTGCCCCATGGGGTTTCTAGGGCTGTGAATCTTTATGGAAGCATATTGCCACATCTTTCTCCTGTAGAGTGGCTGGTAGGTTTGAACCACTAACCTTTTGGTTAGCAGCCAAGCACTTTATCCACTATGACCCCAGAGCTCCTTGTAAAAAGCAAAGTCTATTAATTTTTTTTAAAGCCACCTTTTGTCGAGAGGGTCCTGTGTACTAGGTACCGTGTTAATTAAGCACTTTTTACCTATCGCATTGTATCAGCGATCCCAAGACCACCTTCATATTCAGAGTCACTAGAGGGACTCACAGCACTGAGCATATGATTGTAGTCATGGCTAAGCATTATCACTGTGGTGTCTCCAGGACACACAGCCAATCAATCATAGAGTGAAGAGACAGGTGGGGTCCAAAGGGATCCACGTTCAGGCTTCTGGCACTCTCCTCCTCTCACGGGGAGTCACAGAGCACACTCTTTCCCAGTGACAAAGATCAGAAACTCTTGCACGATGTTCCTGCCCAGGGGAGCCCATTAGAGATTCGGTGCCCAAGGTTTTTGCTGGGGGCTGGGCACATAGGCAGCCTCTGTCTAGCATGGACCCAAATTCCAGACTCCCAGAAGGAAAGCAGTACTTACCATAAGGCATATTGTACTAACAGTCAAGTCAGAGTGGGCCACTCTTATTAACTAGGGATAGGTGTCTGTCAGTGTAGGGAACGGTTCCCCAGCCAAGGTACCAGACACCAGTAAGGGCCAACCTTGTAAGCAGGCCTTTCTAAGGAGAGCAGTCTTGGGCCTGCTGTGTTAACTCTTTTCTTCCCACCCACTTAATTCCCTTAACATGGCTGCAGTGGGGAGAAGGGAAGGCATGGAGGCTGAAGATCAGAGGAGCCCGGTAGCAAGCAAATGGGGGAGCAGGTATTAACTCCAGGGCTGTGTGTCTCCAAAGCTAGGCCTGTGGCCACCAGGCAATCCTGCCTCCCATTCTGACTCTCTTCTTTCTCTTCCTTCCTTTGGTCCAAGGCAGAACCCCCCATATATACCACCTTCCTCCAATTCATCCTCAGTAATAAACCGCCTGTCCACTTGCCTTGTCCAAGGCTGCCAGCAGCTTTGCACAGCAGTTCATGCTTCTCAAGGAAGCCTTGGTCTTTTCCTTCCTAAATAAAAGAACAGAGGGAGAAAGTAGCAAACCTCTAATGTCTCAGAGTCCAGGTTCCAAGAAGCCAGGACTCTGAAACACAGTTTCCTTAAAAGAAGAATATTCGCACCATCAAATATTTGGGGGGAACCACTTTCAGGCACTTAACTAAATGTGATGGTACCTTCAACAAACATGCACTGAGCATCTGCTTATTGTGTACCATGTCCAGTACCGAGCGCTGGAAGTCCAGGATGAGTACGACCCAGCTCCTGCCCGCAGGGAGCTCACAGTCCAGCAGGAACAGAGACGGTGGATAGGAACGCAAATAATTACAATGCCTTCACGTTTGTATAGCACAGGTGGGCAGGTAGGCATCATTCTCCCCACTGCCCAGAAGATACACCAACGCCCTCTAGAGAGGAGTGTCTTACTCAAGACCACGAGGCCAGTGCAAGGACCTAATACTGAAGCATAGCCTCTCTACGGCCAGCAGGGGGCGCCTTGCCATTCTCTGTCCTGAGTTTTCTGCCTCTGGTCTCTCTTTCTCCAGTTTTCATGATCATTTTTGGCTCCCTCTTAGGTATATATCCTTGCCCACAGAGCTACAACAACTGGGACTACTCGGAACTAGATCCAGAGAGATTCCAGAGAGAAGAATTAATGTTACAGAGAAAAAGACTGATAAAGGGTAAGATACCAATGTGGACTCCTGCCCCCTCTGCCCCCTGCCACATCCAACCACCACCTAACTGAGGCAGGGAAGGCCTTGTAGATAAGTTGTCAGGCCAAGTTCGCTCTCACATACCCAAAACTGGCTGCCAGTGTGACTGAAATGTAAATGTTTATGAACTGTAGGTACAAACAAACCAACATAATTGTTAGGATGCGGGAGGTGGAATTTTCCAATAGTTGTTGTTATTAGATGCTGTTGTTGTTGTTGTTGTTATGTGCCGTCGAGTCAGCCCTGACTCATAGCGACCCCTCCTTGGGTTTCCGAGGCAGTATCACTACGGAAGTAG